GAGCAACGGCAGAACAAATTTCGTACATGATTCCCGCAGCTTCTCTTTCGGTAAACGCCTGTTGTCCACGTTCCTAAACGAATATGGTATAATACTATCAAAAATAAACCTCTTGATGTGTGCAGGAACTTGAAAGTTGGAGACATGAAATAAGGAGAGCCATAAGTATGATTTTGGCTACTTCACTTAATCATTCACTGGTTGGAAAGCAATTTCATACCTCGCCCCAGATAACCGGATGGAAATTTCGATCATGAGTGTAGGTTTGCAAACTTATTGAAACCGTACTTGGCTTTCAACTATCATGGGCATAAACCGAATTGTCTAAACTAAAGACTTCAATAAAAATAAAAACTTAAGCCTTGAATTCGAACTATTAGATATCGATTTTTGAAGAGGTTCTCCACTCTAAGGGGGAAGGGGGTGTGAGCGCTTGGTCAAGAGTGCTCGCGCATACTTGCCCAGTGGCAGTTTGAACCATGACAACATTTTTCATATCTGGTCTTTGAGACTTAACGAATAGGGGCTTTTCTATAACTGAGTTATGAAACGTCCTTAGAAGGCTCACGCTTACCTGGATCCGATTAAAAAGCTCGCCACCACGCATGCTTTCCATGACAACGAGCAAACATTGCACATCATTATAGGAGTTCTCGTAGACGTCAACTATCTCCACAATATTTGGATGCCCACTTGCTATGTAATGTAAATTGACCTTAAAAAGGAATGGTAATCAGCTTAAAACAGTCCCACGTGTAGGAGAGGAAACAATAATATTCAACAGAGCTAACAAATGCTACCAACTAAAGAAAGCTGAAATATACGCACCTCCCTTCGTGCTTTCGGTATATCGCGAAGAACCTTGAGAGCAAACTTCTCTCCAGTAACGCGGTGTTCACATTCGACAACTTTTCCGTTAATTCCCACGCCAAGGACCTTCAATTTACAGATACCAGCGAATCAATGTCACAGAGAAAGTTTTCATAAGATCTTCAAGGATACATCAACGAAAAAGAAAAGAGATATTTTGCTATCATGCAGTCATTTGTTATTAAAGTGAACAATTGCCCAGTAGACTGCTTATGTTCGAAGTGAATCACTTGACACAAAATCGTGGAGAGCTGCTGTGGGGGAACAGTAAAGCAGCTACCAAGATCAGGGATCGTAAATTATTGGCTGCTTAGCGGAAATTATCTGCTATTTTTTGAGGCTACTGATTTTTTTGACTGTTCTCGAAGATTATGATGTCATTCGGAAACCCACAATCATCGGCACATTTTGACTTCTAAACTTGCATATTTGTTGCGGTGGAGCATAAGCGGCAGCAATAAATCATACTAATCCTACTGAGTGCACTGTATATTGTATACTAATGCAAAATTAGTCACTTTTTGTTCGCGTATCAGCTTCAAACCGAAACATTCACATAAGTGCTATATACCGAACCGTGAGGCAGACCACGATCTTTCGAAAGACACCAAAATCGTCAGAAATGTCAAAGGCAGAAAAAAAAACGAAATAGCTAGAGAGAAGTGGCGCATAACTTCCGCCCAATGTAAGGAATCTCAGATCTAATCCTGCCCGAACGACAAGACTTCCTTCAATACAAAGCCAGCAGATTAATGGGAGACTTTTCTGGGCAAAAACTTGACTTGCATATGGGCTGCCCCGGAAGCTATTGCAGGTCAAATAAAAATCAAACGCGGCTGGATCTCGAAAGGAATGGAATACATGGCACAAACCGAAAAGGCAGACGCCAAGTACCGTTCTTCAGCCATTTTTTGTCCATCAGCAATTGTTGGTAGAAGTGGTGCACGAGATGTGAAAAAACTCCAACTCCAAAGAGGATCAATAAAGGCAAAAGCGCGATGAAGGAATGAGTACCATATATTGCCATTTCGAATCCAGAGCCATAGGGATGAAGAAAAGGAGCCGAAAGTGGACTAGATATATGATGCTGAACAAGGATCTCTAATCCAACCCTCACAAGATGCTCTGTACTCTGAATTCAATGCAATGGTTCGCTTTATTGCAATTGCATTGACGATCGATTTCAGAATTTCAATAAAAAATGCAGCCCTCTAGAAAAACGAATCTTCCTTTCAAGTCTGAGTTGCCTATACTATAGATGGATCCTTGGCAAACGAATGAACGGATCAATGGATTGATAATCACCTACCTTCCGGCTGATGCGATAATCTTGCGTTACGGGATACGTGTGGTAGGCCATATCTGTCGAGTTTCTAGCCGCCTTGCGATTTGCAGAAGACGATCTTGACTTTTTTCGTTTTCCTGTCTGACGAAAGAAAACTATAAGTTTTAGTCGAATAGTTGGTTGCACAATAGGTGACTTTTGTTAATCAGCGAAAAGGACGGCACTCGTTGAGCAAGACACATCTGGTGATTAGTTTTAAATAGCAAATCACACCCACGGTATTTGATCGAAAGAACGTAAATGCAAAACAAAAAGAAAACATATGCCATTGCAACAATAGCGATGAATCGCACATCAAACGTGACGTCATCATGCATACATTCACTCGGTACCTTTATGGATGGTGACTTTTGCTTGTCCTCTGGCCGAGTCGATTCGATATTACCCATGAACAACTATAATGCAAAACAAGCACAGACTTCACACCACCACACTGCACAAATTTGATTTTTTTCACAGAAACTGAAATGCAAAAATCACCACACGACATCAAAACCAATTCCAGAGGGAATGAATAGAAGGGCGACCCTCACTCAATGCTCAACCAAGAGCCGTCTGCAAGTCTCAACGATTCATGTGTGGTGATTTTGACATCGGCTAGAGCCACGATTTAAAAAGTGTGATAGGTGTCATAAAGTGTCATGGTATGCTGCCAGTCAAAAAACGGTTCCGATATTGAATAAGAGAACTTTTGTTCGTCTTAATCCTACAAACCAGATGTTTTGTCTAAAGGTAAGAAACAGTGCCAAAGAAGCTCTCTTAATATACGAAACAACTAGATGAGCCAGTGGAAAAAAGTAGTGTTTCAGCAAACATCGAGGTATTTGATGAATAACGCCATAGAACAAAAAATGACTCGACAAGAACAGCAGAAGCACTTTGGCCAAGTTTTGCCCATCTATATTCTTCATCAGCATGGATGTAAGTGCTTATTCTAATCATCTAAAGCTTATCTATTCATGGTAATATTGACAGAATTTAGACGAAGATTTTCATCACTAACTCAACATTCATTCAGTCCTATTTCACTCTTTCTAAAACTTAGGTTTCCATGCAAATTATCTTCAATAATATGCAAAAAACAAGGTTCGAACAGAAGTGTTGTGACCTGCAGACAACCGATGGTTGCAATCAATCAGCGACCACAAGACGATATCAATACCAAAACCAATATAGGAGAAGCCTTAATGTTTTACAATATCAAATACGTCACAGAAAGCAGATTGAAAGAAAATAGGCGATAAGAAAAAGTTCTTAGCGATGCCAGAAAGAATGTAAATAACATCAAACAGCGGAAGCCGGCATGCAGCACTTGGCTTTTGAAACTGACGTCAGCTGCGTGCAGCTGCGCCGCGTTCCTTACCTTGGAGCATTTAATTTCACATTCCTGCAAATAGTGAAACTACTGCTTTCATTTGAGATATGAGCATTATGTTTTTCTATTGAAAAAAGGAACCTGCTGTCATCTGGATTTCTGAGTTGTGGTGAGTGCTGATTTCATTTTCACTAACGTAAGAGCACTGGAAATAAATGTGTTATTCGTCGTCCGATCACGGAGAGTTACGCAGAAGCGATCATGGTTATTTGAAAGCCGAGAAAAACTCTGGAAATGACTGTGCTTTTCCGCATGCCCCTCCCATCGACTCTCGGAACCAATAATTCAGGTCTTGATGTGCCCACAAGTTCGTAGAGCGAGTCGCACAAAGCTCATAGGGCTAATTCATGGTGAAGCACAAATCGAAATAGATGAGCAATTCTCGGTGGATGATGCAAAAAAGGAATATTCCAGAGAATGAGCATGATAATCGTTTTTGGCCTATGTATTCGAGATACAGTGTGAGCTGCGGTAAGCCGTCAAAAAAGCAACCTCTGCAGAATATTTGTCGACTTTGAAATTATCTAAACCGTAGCCGGACGACGAGTGTGTGTGGGTCGCTAGGACACAAAGCGACTTTCAGGAAACCCAGGCCCCTTCATAATCAGTGGTGGGCCTGGGATTCACACAGCGAGAATCTTTCGCGCTGCGAAA